CCTGTACTCTTAAATTTACCATTACACCACTGATCCTTCAGGAAACTGAAAGGGAGGTGGGACCTGCTTATAGTTGAGCTGCAGGGCCAGCTCATAAGGAAATTTATGCCCTTCCCAGTCAAGTAAATTCTTTCATCAGGCCTGGGCAGCAGTATAGGTAAGATTAGTCAGGCAAGCTTTGGGTTCTTACAACACAGCTTGTTGTAAGGAGAGAGGAAACATGGACAGCCTTTAGGAAGGATTTTTGTGACAGAGCTGGTGGCTTGTTTGTGCACAAAAAGAACCCCAGAACCAGCAGGGAAAGAGGTCAAGCAATGAGTGAGGAAATAAGTGCCACATACCATTTCCAGCCAAGCTGCTACTGGAGAGTAATTTTGTGTGGCAGTGACTAGAGAAAAGAGCAGGTGGGGCGTATGTCCAGCCCGTAAGGGAACAATCCTTCTTGGTCTTTTTGGAGCCCAACACCCTGACTCCATTTCCACATGACCTCCCTCCCCGCTTTTGGCTTGCACTGCCTGGTATGGTCACTGGTCCTTCACAGAAATGGCAGCTGCCTGACATACCCTCCAGCCTCCTGATGCTAGGCTTGGAGGATCCTTCTCCCAGGCCCCTTCTGTGTGCTTCTCCCTTAGAGGAGGGCATGTGTCACAACTCTGCCCCATCCCCAGTCAGAAACGTGGCACAGCCTCCTCATCAGAGTGGGCCCCCTCCGCTGTGGGGCTCTCCAACTAATCCCTCCTCACTTGTCATGACCCAGCCTGTGGATCCGACAGCTGAGCTGCCAGGATGGGGTGCCGGCATTCCACTCTTTTTGCCTTCCTCTCTGTGGAGCATTTGTCAGCCATACCCCCATATAAGTGTAAAAGCACCTGAAAAGTTTGCATGCTGGAAACTGCCCAGAGTAGTGGCAAGACCACGAGATGTGGTGCAAAAATATAACAATCAAGCAAACAAACAAACAGATTGAAATTCTCTCTTGCCAAGGTATAGTCATGATCTTAAATCAGTTATACCTTTGTTGCCAGAAAAAGGAGTGCATTACAAGTAACTCATCATTTGTAACTAGTTACTTCATATTCTGATTATGAGCTTCAGAAAATTATTCTATCAGCTTGAAGTCTGGTGGATCTTACACACCCTTTGAAAAGCCATTAATGAGGAAACTTTCTTTACCACTTCAGGAAAAATGTTTCACAGTTGTAGAGCAGTTATGGTAAACCCAGAGGAAACATGGACAGCCTTTAGGAAGGACTTTGTTTCACAGTTGTAGGGCAATTACGGTAAACCTCAGTTCCAAGCAGTCAGGGTGCAAACATAACGCAAAGAGAACATAAACAGTAAGATCTGATGAAGGGACCTCAGCTGGCAAGTGGGATCATACTTGGCAGATTCTTTTTTTTAAAGGGGATGTGCACAATCTGAGAAGTAGTTACATATTTTCCCTCTTCTTATTTGACTAGCACACCAACAACAGACAACTTGTTATCTCTGAAAAATGACACCTTCCATATATGACTTGGAACCGTGGTCAAAGCCATCTCTCTCTTTTTTTTTAGAACTCCATTGACTACCATCCCAAACACTGCTTTTAAGGGGGAAAGGGACACGTGGATTGTGAATGCTGCAACTAGACAGATCTTCCATAACCCTTCTTGGACACAGCTGGGCTAGGTCAGATGGTAGTGGAAATAATTTTTAAAACAACAAAGTATAACAGATTGAAGGAAAAAAAGAGAATGCATTGCTCTTCAAATGCTCATCTTTGTACTTGACTTATTTTGCCCATTTCTCTAGGGATCCTGGGAGGCCTGGTTGGACTAAACCACTGCCTTTCTTCAAACACATTAGCTGGAACTTTTTTTTAGCTAGCCCACCTATGCTTTTCCGGGCTTTTGTAAGGAGGTATCCTATCAGCATAAGCCCTCTTCATTACAATAGTCTCCAACTTCTTTAATAGCAGGCCAAAGATCATAAAAAAGCAGCTCAGGCACAGCATCACATTGCAGGAGGATACTGACCTGCAGATACTTTACATGCATAGGGGACTTGGGGCCAGTCTCAACAGGTCTATCTGCAGTGCACATAGGGCTTAAATCAGACGTATGTTGCCATTTTAAAGAGGCAGTTATTACACGAAAACCAGCCTTTAGCCTTTTTTAACCAAACCTGATTCAAGATATTCTGGATAAATATTCTGCAGACTGTCAACCATCTGTAGTTTCTCATCAGCCCGGTTCATGAAAATTAGATGCAAATTATGCTAATTGCATTCAATTCAGCCATGCAAATTAGCTCCAGTCCCTTCGATGATGACATATCCAGTGTGGTTCCTGTTCACTGTCCTAGAAAATCCCTCTGGAAAGGCAGAATGCCTGTTTATTCTACCAACTGGTTACAACACAGGGGGGAGGGAATCAAACAAGATGGAAATAAGCCAGAAGGAAAAGAGCTTACAAAGCTCTTTTAATTGGACCTAGCAAGCTACCTTTTCCAAAGCCTCTTCCAGAGCTCCAGGGCCTGTTCTTCTATCAGAATTATAGCGACAGATTCTTGAATGATGGTGACTGACTGGGAACATTCTGTCTGTGTTTATTCACTGCTTCCGGGCATTATCATTGCTATGAGTCACTACTATGCCCAAGCCTAACCCAACACAGCAGTAGCTTTAAAATCCACATTCCACCTCCAAGAGGATTAACCAGAATAATAGTGACTAGGTCATGTATTTGGGGCTGCTCAAATGGGCACAGTGCTGTTCATTTCAATCCAGTCCACTTTTATCTGTAGTTCAACAGACACACACACATACATGCACACACACACACACTCACACACACTAAGAAAACACACCAGCTATGTTTTGATATGAGTGTATTATTACAAGGTCAGCAGTGTTCCACACTTCGAAGCGTTCTCTCGTCTGATCCTTTATTTTCTCTACGCACTTTCAGTTTACACGATAGCAAGAGACAAAGCGCTAAGGATGCTTTAGAAATGCCCTGCAATGATATCTGGGACATTTTAAAGCTGTGAGGGCAAACAAGCATATACAGTGAGCGAGAATGTGTATTTGTGTGTGTAATGGGGGTATTTTTTCCCTGTAGGCTTCAAAGCTCTAACAGAGTCGCTTCCTTCTCACAGCGCAGTTCTTCCCCCAAATTCCCTGTGGGGCTTTTCTATATTCTGGAGAACTAGCAAGTCAGAAAACGACTGTGAACCACTGAGTTAAATGAGAGGATGTTGACCAGGGCTTGGCTGTCAGTGCAAGCCAGAACAAATCGTGTTCAGTCATCACATCTGTTTAACTATGATTAAGCCCTGCTGGGACCTGCTGGGTTGTACCTCTCAACTACAATTGAATCCTCTGAGAAAATGGTAGGGCTGGGACTGACATTTCGTATGTGCCAGGGCTGAGATCTACCGTCTCTCCTCCCACCCCCACTTTAGTTCCCTTATTTTGCAAGGCTGCAGAATCTCGAATCATGGCATTAAAAAGATAGCTGTGGCATACAGACTCTCTGTAAGATATCTATGCAGCTTTTTCTTTGCGGGGAGTGTGTGTTTGCTAAGATGGAAACTCCACTAAATTCTCCATCCAAGACACAAATTGTTTCAACCATGGCTAATTGGCAAGCTACAGTTTCGATGCACGTTGTTTACATATATTTCATATGCAGGCTGCATAAGGCCTGGGAAAGCTTTTAGTGTTCCAAAATGAAATGACTTATCAAGTTCACTTTCATCTAGCAGAACAAACAGGGTTCTTGGCTGCACCATAATAAAGACCCCCATAGCTGAAATGCTTTAAACCCCCCCTCATTCTGTAATTTATTCTCAAGGGCTAATTTGCAAAATGAAACTGTTTGGATGATTGGTTTGCAGTAAACATGATGAATCAAATTGGCTTTTGCAAGTACAGGAAGCGTCTATTTCCATTTATAATAATAATCAAACTCACAATAGCTCATATTAATAATAGCAGCTCACAGTAATAAGGCAAGCATTTTTTTTTGTTTAAAAAATCAAGTAATAGAACTTGCAATGAAAGTGACATGGGATACCATTAACTAGGTGGCACAAGCCATTTTAGATTTAGTTTTTTTTATGGGCAGGGATTACATTAGACGTGATCAAAATCCTACCTGCAAGAAATACAGTTGGCTGCAGATCTAACTGCCTTTTGCTCTCCCTGCATTGGGGAGTACAAGAGAAAGGCTTGCTATTTGCCTCTCTGCAAACTCCATAGGAAGAATCTGAGCAAGCAGGCTAGAAGGATGTTGCTTCAGGGATGGAGGAGATTGGCGGGGAGGGGGGGGGAAGAGAGTCAAAGGCTGCATACAGATGAACATGCATAAATCAGAACCAGTGATATTTCCCCTTCCTCCTCAGAGCTTGAGAGACCGGCCTAAGGTTAGCCAGTGAGCTTTACAGATGAGTGAAGAGTCGAACCACACCTTTTTCCATTCAAATCCTGCATTCTGGTCAGTACACTACACTCACTCTCCAGCCCTAATGGAAATAATTAGGTCCATTCCCACGTGCATATCCAGTAGACTGAGTCTCTCTCTTTCTCTCTCTCCATTTTCATTTGGAGAAGGATGACTTCCCCTCAGCGCATTAGACTGCAGCCTCAGTCAACTGTGCTCCCAAGAATATGCTGTAACACAGCAATGCTCAAAATTGGGGTGGGGGAGAGGGTCCGATGAATGGTCTGCTGAGTATTCCTTGGCAATGTAAGGTTTTCTGAGACACGACTTAACTAAAAAAACACCTCATACTAAAAAAAAACCCTTCCACAACTGATTATTCAAACTATTTACAGAATTTAAAATTGTATTCCTCTTTTAGGATTATTCAAACTATTTACAGAATTTAAAAGAGTATTCCTCTTTTAGGAATGGCCTGGTATGATCTGGTCCATGGGGTCATGAAGAGTCAGACACGACTAATCGACTAAACAACAAAAAAACAGACTATTCAGAATATTTCAATGTGTTTTATTTGGTTTATTGTGGGGTTTATTTGGGGGGGGGTTGTTTGTTTCCTTGGATTCTACATTTTAAATACTGTGGAGTCCATGTCCCTTCTTGGAAGTCTGGGTGGAGGGATTTTAGGTAAAAGCTCTTGAGCGTAAAGTGTTCTGTGAAGTCCAGCTTCTCGCAGAGCTAGCTCGACACGAACCCGAGTGTCAGAAATGATCTGTTTTTGAAAAAAGGATGTTAAAATATACATCACACAGACAAGGTTTTGGAACTGAACTACCTATCTTGGAATAAATCACACCAACTGTGGTGTCATACATTAAAAACACAACATACTACTCTTCAGTTATAAAATCCATAAATCATGAAAATCTACACAGCAGAATCCCTATGTAATACAGTGGACCCTTGACTTACAGACGGCTTGACTTACAGACTTTTTGAGTTACAGACTTCTCTGGCCACAAAATTTAGGTTTGACTTGCAGCCTGAGAATTGACTTACAGACCAGAAAAAAAACAAAATGGAACAAAAACGGCCTGTTACGGGATTAATCGGTTTTCAATGCACTGTAGGTCAATGGAGACTTGACCTACAGACTTTTTGACTTGAGAACCGCCTTCCAATACGGATTAGGTTCTCAAGTCAAGACCCCACTGTAGCAGTATCCTCTAGATCAGAGGTTGTTAACCCACAGTCCGTGACCTGGTGCTTGTCCATGGCTTGAGCCAGACTGGGCTGCGGAGACAGACCTCCCACACGCACTCACCTCCCCACAGCTGCTTTGCACACACGTGTGCATGCCAGCACCAGCCACTCCCCCATCCCCTTCATGCATGTGCCTGAGCGCCCATGCCAAGGGGCGTGCGTGCAGGTGGTCCTGCATATGCGCGAATGGGTGGGGGAGCACTCATGCTGGTGCTGGTGCGTGTGCGTGCTCCCACACTGCTTTGCGCATGCACCCAAGAGAGAGCGCCCACGCAAGGACGGGGAGTACCCTGCATTCCTCAGAGACTCAGCTGGTCTGTGGTCCCAAAAAGGTTGGGGACCACTGCTCTAGATGTTTTGGAGGAATAAGATATTTCCCCCATTGAACAGAGATGTTCAGGATTCTGGATAGAGCAGTAAGCAGTGCTATGAATGTGAGAGCCAGTGTGGTATAATGGATGGAGTGACAGACTATGACTCAGGAAACTATGGTTCAAACCCCTGCCTGGCCATGGAAACTCACTGAGGGGTGGCACTGGTAAAACCACTCCTAAAATATCTCACTTGCCTTGGAAACTCTACTAGGGTTGCCATAAGTCAGAACTGACTTTATGACACATAACACACAGTGTTATGAGTGCAACTGCAGGTAGGTACTTAATTCTCACATCAGATATTATTTCTACCTGCAGTCCTCAGTATCACTTCCTGCTTGGGCTACTGCAATGTGCTTCTATGGACAAAGGTGTGGCTATGACATAGCTGCTAAAAATTAAAATCATGGCAGCAGGCAGGGAACTATAGTAATGGTGTACAAAAAGAGGAACTAATAGATGGACAGGGGTAAATAACCATTGTCCTCCAGACATCAGAGAACAGAATGCTGAGAAGGTGCATCCAGCATGATCTACTGTGAGGGAGTGGGGGAACTTATATATATAGATAACTTTTATATATATAAAAGAAGGACTGGTAGTGGCATAGGCATAGGTCTCCTTGATTCACTTTTGGGGGGTCCAGGCATGCAAGCACAAACAGAACACTAGCCTGCATGCAGTGCTGAAGGCCAGCTCAGATGTGAGGACAGCCACAGTAAAGAGACTGTCCTGCCCTTTATGTGAGTTACCCTTATTGCATACAATCCCTGTGGCCCCCAGTAATGTGCCATGCTCAACACAACTGCGATGATGCATAAAACATCTCTCCGATATACAGAATGTATCAGGATATGAAGCAAGGAAGGCTTGACAAAATAGTAGACGATGTCTAGAGGGGCGGGGTAAAAATCGAATATATAAAAATAAAAAATTAAATAGTATTACAGCACTTTCATCTGCTTCATTGACTACACAAAAGCCTTTGACGGTGTGGACCACAGCAATCTATGGCAAGTCCTTAAAGAAATGGGAGTGCCTCACCACCCTATCTATCTCCTGATGAATCTATATGTGGGACAGGAAGCAACAGTTAGAACTGGATATGGAACAACTGAATGGTTCAAAATTGGGAAAGGAGTACGACAAGGCTGCGTATTGTCTCCCTACTTATTTAACTTATATGCAGAATACATAATGCGAAAGGTGGAAGTGGATGAATCCCAAGCCAGAATTAAGATTGCCAGAAAAAATATCAATAACCTCAGATATGCAGATGATACCACTCTGATGGCAGAAAGTGAGGAGGAATTAAAGAACCTCATAATGAAGGTGAATGAGGAGAGCACAAAAATGGTCTGAAGCTCAACATAAAAAAAACAACAACTAAGATCATGGCCACTGGTCCCATCACCTCCTGGCACATAGAAGGGGAAGTTATGGAGGCAGTGACAGATTTTACTTTCGTGGGCTCCATGATCACTGCAGATGGGGACAGCAGCCATGAAATTAAAAGACACCTGCTTTTGGGGAGGAAAGCAATGACAAACCTTGACAGCATCTTAAAAAGCAGAGACATCACCTTGCTGACAAAGGTCCGCATAGTCAAAGCTATGGTTTTTCCAGTAGCGATGTATGGAAGTGAGAACTGGACCATAAAGGCTTACTGCCAAAGAATTGATGCTTTTGAATTGTGGTGCTGGAAGAGACTCTTGAGAGTCCTCTGGACTGCAAAGAGAACAAACCTATCCACTCTAAAGGAAATCAACCCTGAGTGCTCACTGGAAGGACAGATCCTGAAGCTGAGGCTCCAATATTTTGGCCATCTCATGAGAAGAGAAGAGTCCCTGGAAAAGACCCTGATGTTGGGAAAATGTGAGGGCAAGAGGAGAAGGGGACAATAGAGGACGAGATGGCTGGACAGTGTCATCAAAGCTACCAAGATGAATTTGACCCAACTCTGAGAGACAGTGGAAGAAAGGAGGGCCTGGTGTGCTCTGGTCCATGGGGTCATGAAGAGTTGGGCAGGACTTAATGACTAAACAACAACAAGCACTGTAAGAGATGGCAAGAGTCATCTAATCTAGTCCAACCCCCACCAGTGCAGGAATCAGCAACCAAAGTATCTGAGGCTGAGCGGAAATACATTCTTTTTCTCATACCTTATGGTTACATATCTTTCCCAAATAAAGAAAAAGATTGAAACTTACTATAGGTTCAGTGCTCTCCATTCATCCAACACTTGTTAGGTTGTTTTTTTGGGTACGTAAATGAATAATTAATGGAAAGGTGCCCTCAAAGGAAGAAAGTCTGGGGAAAGAACTCCATTGCCACTCTACAGGGTTCAACGCCACAGGTCTCCGTCCCCAAAATCAAAACCTTTAACAAAGGCAAAGCATTTGGGAAGGGGAAAGACCATACACCTCCTACCCTTGTGAATGTGGACACATCTGCAAAGATGTGCGGTGATGAAGGGACTGTGTGTTTGTATGGAATAGCTCCCATCTTTAGAGGTATCACGGCACTTTTTTATATAGGTGCCTTGGCCCCTGTGCCCAGAAACCCAATTGAGATCCCTTACAATTAGGAGGGGGGGGTATTTCCTCCTCTTCCAGATTCCCATATCCCAACTACCTCAGCAACTCAGTGCCTGCCACATACAACTTAACTGTTTTTTTCGTTTCACCTTCCTGTGATTGGTCTGCATGCAAATACGCTACACCAGATGGTTTACTACCTGTTCTGCACTGAATGTATGCAATTCAAACAGAGGTTTCTGCAGGAAAAACTCCTCTTCTGTTCCAATACCCATTCGAGCTTTGGATGCCACTGTGTCAGCCATCATTCGAGCAGGATCAAATTCTGCAACAATAGCAACCTATGAGAAATGTGGAGATAGTTAGTGATACAGACACTCTGTATGACCTTGCCTGCTCTCCAAACCATACAGACCGAGGCAACACCAACAGTCATGTCCACTAGCATCTAGCAAAGAGCAATAATTTTTTTTCTCATATGTTTAGCATTCTAATCAAAGTATATCAGCATAATCTACTCTGCCTTTCCCAGAAATGGCCATGCTAGTACAGTAGGGTTATTCTGGGAGCTGCAGTGTAAACATTTTTTTCCTTTCTCATCCCTGACATCTCCTGCCATTTCAGCTAGGCCATGTATGATTCCATGTGGCATTCAATGAAAAAGAGGGTCTTAGTGAACAAATGAACAACTGTTCTGCTTTTAGGTGGGATCTCACTTGATCCCTAAATTGCATCTTCTGCATCCTAGTGCCCGCTAGACATATTAGATTACAGCTCACATTGCGATATTGATTGGCTGTGCTGTCAGGAGATGATGGAATTGTAATCTGGAACACACCGGGTTGGGTAAGGCTGCTGCAGATGTTACAAAGCTTTCACCACAGAAAACGTGGAATGATAAACTAGAAAAGTGGCGACTTTTCATGTAGTCAAGTATTTGTCTGCTCCACTTCCCTTCTGTTTGTATTTTCAACTTTTGGTATTTTCCACAGGCAGTGTTATATGTACATCCTTTTCGTCACCTACATAGACTCACGGGAACATCATTGGCATCACTGTTCCAATAGCACACCACACACATTTGTAATAAATTTGCTTCTTTTTTCAAAAAAAATCTTGCTTCTTTCATTTTGTATTCCATAAATTCCTTCAGTAATTCCATATCTGGAAGAAACTCCACTGGAAGTGTCTTAAAAAAAGCAGCTGTAGAAGTGGAAAGATCCATTTTATGGTTTTTGAAATGTAGGCAATAACCTTTAAAAAAACCACTTTGAACAGAACTTGTACGGTGGTGAAGCTGCTCCCTCCACAAACAAGGAAATATATAATCTGGGGAACTCAACATGGTGCCCTTGGACATCTCGTTTCCCTACATCTCCTCTCTTTTAAGAAAATTTAGAATTCAGAACACTGAGAAGCTTGCCTGCTACGAAGCAGCGTGCTGAACCAAAATGCCAAGTTTCTTTCTGAGCATACCTCTCACCTCAGAGTCATTGTCTGAAAATTTAAAAAGTTAGGCAACAGTTAGCTGACCTATTTGCTTGTTTTGTTATAGTGTCAAAGACCCAGTAGTTAAGTCACAACTAGAGTAGGCCCACTGAATCAGTCAGGATTTGGAGACTCAACTCCTTCATCAATTCCATTCATTCAATGGAATTCAATGTTGTAGATTACTACTCAATTTCAGCCAGTGTATGTTTTGAAGTATATATGTATGCACATGTGTGCACCACCAATCTGCCTTCTGCAGAACTAGCCTTGTAATGTGTGTGAGGACAAATATGTCACTTGGCATTGGGAGTTCAAGTTTTTAGTTAAACATTTCAGTGTGTGTGTTTGTGTGTGAGCATCTGTGGCACTCGTTCAAAACTGAACATGTGACACACACAGAGATCCCTGATGAGATAGACTGAGTCAGTGTATCTCAAACACCCGCTCCTTCTATCTCATCCTTGTGATGGCCTATGCCCCAACTTGTCAAGAAAGGTTTTTTTATGCTGCAGATTCTGGTGTTATGTGGTAAAAGAAGACATGAGCTAATGGCATGTAAGGAGAAAAAAAACTAGTGAAAGTCCTGTGTATAAATCATTCTGAACTACAGCACAGTGGCTGACATATCTAATCAAATGAGTAATGTAAGAAAAAGTACTAAGGAGCCAGAGAGCATCTTGGATGTTGCATTTTCTTCTGGCAACTTTTTTGCATTTGCTTTAAGACACAGATAAAAGAATTGCTTTATCGGCTCCAATAAGTGAATATATCACTGTACCGAAAAGTGTAAATGCTATCATCTTGGTAGCTGCAATGAATGGGGACATGAGTATCAAAGTCACAATTTAGTTATGACCCAGGTCATATCAACTGACTGGTGAAATTAATAATGCCATTTTTAAAATGCGGATTTGTATTGAAGCTGCCTCCTGTGAAAGTAGGTTGGGTATGAAGAAAATGATTTTGTACGATGTATGTCAGGTGCAGGAAACCTCTGGCCTGCAGGCTGGATGCAACTCATCAGATCTCCCACGCACCCTGCAAGCTTCTTTGACTGCAATCTCTTCAGTGATCTGAGGTAAGAGGGCATTTAAGCACATTTAACTGTTACATATTCTGTACTGCACTGAACTATGCTTTGAATGATAGAAGCTGTTGAACAGAACCATTCCCCAAATGTATTGTGGGTTGCAGGCCTGGAAGGTGCTCTACAACAGCTCCGTTTTGAGTAGATGCATGTGGAACTCAGACATGTTTTGTATGCTTGATCAGAAAATCCCCAAATTGGTCAGAATAATATCTGTGTATTTTGCTTCCACCTTCTCCATGTTTGTTTGTTTACTATACAGTATTTGCATGTCTCCTTTCTGCCAGCTAACAGTAGTCAAGGTGGCCAACACTGGTAATGTTAAATAAGCAACTATATTAAAACATTTAACAATATTACAAGCACAGGGTTGTGCTGAAAATACAGGATTGCTATTTGCCACTCCCCAAGGGATCAATGGCCAGCTTTTGCTTCAGTTAAACCAGTATCTAGAAATCAATAGCTTGCTCTGATTGCAACAGCTAGCTCTTATTCCTTGTGACAATATAGGGCTGCCAAAAACATTAGCCAAAACACTGGCCAGCTCTAGACAAATTAACTTTTTACAGCTCTGCCCTCCACAGCTTGTGTTTTATCATATGTGGATCAGTTTAACAATTGTGCATTCAATTATGGAAAAGCAAGCCAGAATAATTCTTGCTGACTCTCATATTGAATATGTGGTACTTCATCTTTTCCATGTATAACTTTGTCTATGTCTGGAAAGCCAGTAAAGATTTAATAATTACTCCACTGTGTTCACTGGAATATAGGAGATATCAGTCAGTCTATCAGTTGCTGGCTGTATCTTTAAATCTTGTATAAGTTCTGATGATGGTGTTCTCTCTGAGACAGCATAAATTTTACCAACCTAGGAATTTGCTTAATTTCAACTTATATAGTTAAATCATATTTTAAAAAATGAAAGTCAAAGTCAAATGACTTTTTAAAAAATGACACAATGCAGTTTTGGGACAATCTGCTCATTCTAGTTGAGCACAATCAATATTTTTTTCTTAAGGTAATATCAAGATGGTTTTGCTTAAATAGGTTTAGACTCCAGTAAATTCACTGAAAAAAGGCTGAAACAAATGCTAAATGAATTTTAGATTTGAAACTGATGTTTACAAGGAAACTACTTGAGACAGATGCAAAAAGAATGGAGTCTTTTCAGGACAGGAAAGAACAAACTAGACATTGCACAGTTTTATTCACCTAAGCAGGTGAAATAAATCTTCAATTCTTCATTCAGCTTGTGAACAATGAGGAGTGACTATCATCTGGTTATTTTTCAACAACAGGAAACAAAAAACCAACCACAAAACATTAGGAAACTCAAAAGTACTTTACAACCAACAAGCTACTGAGACCTTGGAGACTTTTTAGCTACTGTACTGGTATTTATTTATTTAATTTTATTTATATCCCGCCTATCTGGTCGTGTCAGGACCACTCTAGGCGGCTAACAACATTAAAAAGTCATACAATAAGTATACGTATAATCTACACTTATATATTCTACACTTCCAGATACAAATGATCTTTATTATCAATTTTTATTGAGTACATCAAACGATGACTATTTGGCACACAGCCATTTAAACAAGTGAGCTGAGCATAGTGTTGATCTAAGCTCTTTGCTTTCATCAGAAAAGCAAGAACTATAACATAAGAACCCCCCACACACTTCCCTGATGCACGCCCACACGAATGCACAGCCGCCCACCCGTGTGTGTGCATGCGCGCACCCTACCTGTCCATGCAAGTGCGCGAATGCGCCCCATCCATGAGTGCGGGGGTTCCCCACCCCCCTGCGCACAGATCCTGCTGCCCTAATCGGTCCGTGGTTCAGAAAAGGTTGGGGACCACTGAACTATAGGATCCTCATTCTGCCTTGGTTTACATAGCCACAGATGAAGTGGTATGGTAGTTTCAGGCAACTCCTAGTTATTGGCAGCATTACTGGAGCTACCATCTAATGCATACCTCCTTGGAAGTAAACTTTGTTAACAACTTATTTTAGTAAACACTCACACAATTAGGTTATAAGGAATTTAGTTATGACACAGCTAAAGTAACAGCACTTACATGATGTGTACTGTTTCTTTAAGCTGGAGAAACAAAGGAATATATTTTTTCCAGAAATCCAGCATTCTGCCAACTTTTTAAAATTAAGCATCAAAGAAAAAAATTCCTTTTTTTAAAAAAAAATGGTTTTTGCTTAGTGTTAATATACTGCTACCTCAAAACTGCATGCATGGTAGTGTTGCATTCATAACAGGAATAAATGCAGGATCTAAAAGGGAAGACAACATGTTATCAGGCTTCAGTGTAAATATGCCACAGTTGGTAAAAAAAAAAAATAGAGAAACACATTGTCCACTTTATTAAGAAACTTCCCTCTGCATATTATGATATGTGGATACTTGTGTACCGTAGGGATGATACGGAAATCTGTTTTACATGCATGGAATAACACTGAAAAGCAATCTTGCTTTTATAATTTGTGTGAACCAAGGATGGGCAACTTGCAGGTCTTGCTGTGGTGCTGTTGCACTGCAAATCCATTCGTTTTAATCCATTGGCCATCCTGGTTTGGTCCCAGGTGAGTTCAACAATATTTGGAGGGCCACAAGTTGCCCATCCCTGGGGAAATGATCACAGTCAGATTACAACACACACAAGAAATGAAACACAGTTATAGCTGCTGAGGAGCCTTTTATTTTCTAAATGTCTTGATACAATAATTGCTCAAATGCAATGTTATCCTTGCTCTAATAATTTTAATTGCACAACACTGAAGGTACAAAACAAGTACTGTATACCTGTTGCCTGAGAGCATCAAGACGTCTTTTTCTTTCTTCTTCCTCATGGGCTTCTTTCAGGATTGCCTCCTTTTTCTCTATTAAGCGCTTTTCTAACAGTCTTTGTCTAAACTGAACCCTTTGAATGGGAAAACATGAAGTCAATGACCCACTGCTTATCTGTTTTCTGATACCATGAGAGTGTTCAATGGATGTATTAGGAACAATTAAGACTTTATCTGAAATAAGTATTTAATCAATAATCTGCCTACAGAAAGCCTGTACTTACAGTGATAGTACAATCTTATCCAGGTGAACAGGGAATTCAATACAAAATGATAGTGTGCCATAAAATATGTTAGATCTGATTATTATCAACATTTCACATTTGAATAATTACAATTCTAATTGATTTAAAACTGTGTTTAAAATAAATTTCTAACTTTTCGGGTGCAACTATACAGTGAAGTTATCCCGGCCTGGATCAGGATAATGAGGGTCACTTGAAAATGTGGTCTAATGTAGGGAACAGGGTGTTCCAAGGGAGGAAGCTACATGGCACCTCAAAGCATCCTTAATTTCCCAATTCTTCCCTCTGAACCTCCATGGCTTCACATTTTCTCCTATCTCCCCCTCCACAGGAAGGTGGATTTTTAAAATATGTATTAATAATTGACAGGTCACTTCATTGGCTTGCCATCAAAGTGACACAGCACTGGATTGTAAAGAAAAATAAAATAAAATTAAAAACAATTTCTCTTCAACATCCTCTTTTTTTTTCCTCCTCCCTTCACAGGGAGCAGGGAAACGCTGGATTTTTTAAAAAAATTAGTAAATGAAATATCACTTCACTGGCTTGCCATCCAAGTGATATTGCACTGAATTTGACCCAACTCCGGGAGGCAGTGGAAGACAGGAGGGCCTGGTGTGCTCTGGTCCATGGGGTCACAAAGAGTCGGACTAAACAACAACAACTGGATGAAACACCTCCCAGTGCTGCTTTGGATATCGGACAAGACTAAACGACTAAACAACAACTGGGTGAAACACCTCCCAGTGCTGCTTTGGATTCGGCATTGGTGATCACACACCCTGGAAGCTGAACAAAAACAGAGCTATCTCTTCCACACTAAATATAAAACAAAACTGTAGCAGTCAACAGTGATCCAAAAAGTTGTAGACAGCCAGGGAAAAGGACCTGGCTGGTTTGCAATTACCAGCACCATTGTGTCGGAGCCTCAACATAGATCAAACCTGACTATACCAAAAGCAATTCAAAACATGAGATAAAGCACTGTCTGATCGCCCCCGTAGATGATTGTTATGATTTACAGCTGTAATTTTCAGTTTTGAGGTATTTACAAAATGTATCTGAGATTGCACATGGGAATGTTTCATGAATCATGTTTAGGACATTCAAAATAATAAGCACTCTAAACAGACTCCACATAGCTGATGGCTTAAGAATAGTTCTAGGAATATAAGAAACTGGTTTAAAAGAGAGCACACACCCATTTTGTCTCAACAGCTACAACAAAGCTGATTTAATGGTTTATCTGAATTTAAAAGAATTATATTCTTAAAGTAGAATACTGTATAGGCCTAACCCATTGTGCAATTTGTACATTATTTAATGAAAGTAAGACAGCAATAAACGTACGGTATATTGGAAACATTGTCTGTAGATGAATCTGTATGAACAGAAAGGTATTAAGGCTGCATTAGAACAATGGATGTGAGATTTTTAACAGGCTGCTGGCATGAAAAATGGCTTCCCTTGTGCCAGATGGGTTATATTCTTGTGTCCTGGCAGTTTTCAAACACAGGAATATTATTTCCACCCTTTCCATTTCTATTTATCTCCCTGACAAACTGTACTAGAGCACAGCGTGTTGTCCTCTGAAGATGCCGGCCACAGAGACTGGCAAAACATTAGGAAGAACAACCTTCAGAACACGGCCAAAGAGCCCGAAAAACCCACAACAACCATCCCTTTATCTCCTTGGATAGCTCATTGACCAAGCAAGGGTGTAGCTGACTCCCAGCATTTCAGGGGAGCACCCATTTGCTCTCATCATAAACTGCTTGTGTTTTCTTCCCACAGTTCTTTGAGAAACATAATGATGATAAGATGCATCAGGACAGGAAGCTGGATGGCTGCTAAAAGGAGATCAGCCGAGAGCACAAGGGGCATGACTACATATTGGTGGTGGTGGGGGGGAGAGAATGAAAGAATATCGGCTGCAGGAGTGAGCACCTGCAGAGAAATGCAGAATAAGCAGGGGCATAGATTTAGATGGAGCTACAGAAATAAAGCCAATTAATGTAGCCAAGCTTCAGGTGTTAGAAAAGCCACTTCTCCTTAACTTCAGGGTACAAATAGCAAGGATGAACTCTCAGCATCTCTACATGGTTATGAAGGCAACAAAACTCTCTGCATATAGATAGATTCTCAGAAATTTGGGAGATCACAAATCAAACACTGACTCATAGCAACAAGTGGCTTGTGCTGTAAACTGATGAAACTGAAACATACAGTATATGGAGAAATGACATCTTGATTATGTGTCTTAAGCTTAACCAAGGTTCGATAGATTTCATGTCCCCACAAACAGAAGGCTGTGTGACAATATCGGTTAAAATCCTCTCTTCTAAACTGCTAGTTCCAGGGAACCTTTGTGCGAACGGGAGTTTCTCTTGAATGAAAAACAGCAGCTTCGGAAAGGCAACTTTTCTCTGCACCTTGGCTGTTCTTTCTGCCCTCGCGCTGCTCCTTAGCTATTATTCACATTTTTAAAAATTGCATGTCAAAGGCATATTAAATTTATGCAATTAGCGTTGGATCTGAATTCAGCCCAACAAGATCTACACTGCAAAAAATAAAAATAATAAATAAATAATTTTTTAAAAAAATTAAGTCACCAGAAGAAGAATTCAAGTGGAATGCTCCACCTGGAATGAAAACTTGGATAAGGATACAAAATAGAAGAGTGATTTAAGAAAAACTCAATTCAAGTGCTTCTTGCTGCCAGAGCAGCTTTTATTTCTCTTTCCCTCCCTTTACAGACCCAAGTATGCCTGTAAAATGTGTTCTAAGGGGCTAGGGGACCTTCCAGAGTAAATTTGGCAGTGCTGTGGGAGGGTAGAGAGAAGAAACAAGTCAATTCTGTGAGCTGATGTCTGACAGTGGTAGAGTTTTCCCTCTGATTTGCAAACATATTTTAGTTGAGTCAATAAGCCTTATGCTTCTCTAGAGCAACCATTTTGAACTTTTTTTCCCTTTCCTTGTCTTTTTTTTTTGGCCATGGACCTTTTAGGAGGTCAGGTTCCAGGGTCCCCTGTCAAACAAGGATACAACAGGAACAGATATCTTTCAGAAACTTCTCACATTTTTTTAGTCTATGCCCCCCCTTCAAACATGGTAGGGCCCCTAGGAGGCCACATGCCCCCCCTTGAGAATAGCTGATCTAGAGGAATATTATAATGACATTAATATGGACCCCCTCCCAGATATTAAGTCACCTTTTCCAAATACACGCAGAAATCATTTCTTATATTCAGAAATATTGTGTCAAAGAAAATCCTAGCATGACCAAGAAACATTAGAATCAAAACTTTCTCTCACCTTTGTCGAAAGAAGTGCATTACAGTTTCCCAATCTTAACTAAATATCATAGTTAAGCAACTTTTTTTAAGCAACAAGTTAAATAAAGAATTTAGTTTATTGGTTTCAATAAAGCGACCCTTTGAAGTACTGTGAATACACATTCATGTAATTACTGATAAGCATGATTTCATTAAAACTGCTTTCAGGATCTTTATTTGGATGTCTCTCATACATATTTAATACAGAGTAGTCCTGAGTTGATTAGATAGGCGGGATATAAATAAAATAAATAAATAAATACAGTTAACAGAAAATGTATTTATTATACGAGCTTTAAAAGAATATTATGAACATGCTCATAACATGTACAATATGACACCCAGGACTTCTTCTCTGCTTTGACTTGAATAATTAATTATTCAGAGAAGATACAAATAAGTTCAAGGAAGAAAGTTTTCTGTATCATCTAAACAGGAAACAAGAAATTAAAAAAAACACTCAACTTTTTGATAATTCTGTTTCTGTGGGATGTTTGAGAATCTGGATCAAATGATCTAGTCTCTATGTTTTGCAGTGCCAACTTCATGTACCACAGTGTTCAGCTGAGGAATGTTAAGAGGGCAACAGATATGGCTGAGCAGGAATTCCCTGCTATCATTCTGGAATAACTATACTTGATCTCCCTGTCGCATTCCTTTGCTTTCAGACTAAACCTGGGCCCTGCAGCCCAACACTCTATCATGTACACAGAGAGAGCGCTTTTGCATCACTTGAACAATTCTCAAAGGTGTTTTCTGCTCAGCTATTGTCCCACTATCATCTACATACGCATCTGGTTGAACTTTAATGGCAGATATGTGGTGGCGCTGTGGGCTAAACCGCAGAAGCCTGTGCTGCAAGGTCAGAAGACCAAGCAGTCCTAAGATTGAATCCACGCGACGGAGTGAGCGCCTGTCGCTTGTCTCAGCTCCCTCCAACCTAGCGGTTCGAAAGCATGCAAATGCAAGTAGATCAATAGGGACCACCTTGGTGGGAAGGTAACACCGTTCCGTGTCTAAGTCGCACTGGCCATGTGACCACGGAAGATTGTCTTCGGACAAAACGCTGGCTCTATGGCTTGGAAACGCGGATGAGCACCGCCCCCTAGAGTCGGACACGACTGGACAACTATCGTCAAGGGGAACCTTTATCTTTACCTATGTACAGTGGGGTCTTGACTTGAGAACTTAATCCGTATTGGAAGGCGGTTCTCAAGTCAAAAAGTTCTCAGGTAAAATCTGCATTTCCCATAGGAATGCACTGAGAACCATTTGATCCGTATCTGCTCTTTTCCGTCCATAGAAACTAATGGGAAGCTGCTATTCTGCCTTTGACCACTAGAGGGGGATATTTTGTTTCTTTTTTCCTTAGGTCAAGAACGGTTCAGGGAAGGCAGGGAAAATACAGTCCAGGCAATACCAGGCAGTCTGAAGACTGTCTCCCAATTCTCTCTCTAAACGCTGGGAGGAGTCAGGAAGCAGACAGGCACCCTT